AAAAGTTTAATGCGTTTACTGTGGGTGTTCGTTTTGGTTTTGATGATGGGATTTGGATAGGAATGAGGAATAAACGAATGAATATTAATAGGTTCGAATCAACAGAACAATCTTTTAATAAAGATATAAGCGGGGGATGCGAGCGATTTAGAAAAGATTTAATCAGAATTTTTGATGTGATGTGTGATTTCACGGTTCATTCGACTCATCTGGACTTTTGTTTCACTCGCAATGAACCAACTCACTGATTTATGAGCGTTCAATTCGACGTTATATTTGATTGATGATTCAACATCCTTATCGCTGAAACGTCATCGAATATGTTTTCATAATTGCAAAATTATAGTTGAGAAACTGATTTTTTAGATTGGCGTTACTTCTGGAAATGAGTAATATTATTGAAAATTAGTTTAAAAAATAAGTCTCCATGAACCGAATTGCTTCCAAGTTCGAGGGAACTCGTTCAGTCTGAAACTGCAGACATAAGAACCCTTAATGCAAGATCTCACCTCGTTTCTACAGGGTTGTCATGGGTGCACAGATGCAAAGGTTTTTTTCCAAATAGAAGAATCTTCTGCAATGGATGGAAATATCGTTATCGACTTTTTAAAAATGACATTTCAATGTTATTTTAACTGTAAGGATATTGTGACTGCCAGACAGATGATCATTTGCTCAGATTTATTTTGTACATGAACTGATTGAAATGTTAATCTCAAATAGAATGCTTTCTAATTNTTTTCAAGCAGCATTTCCACTGTGAACCCGATTACTTTGTTCGTTGTCCAGGACGAGTGAACTTAATCGGTTCGTATTTTCAGTATGCATTTATTTTGGAACATTTTCGAAAGTAATTAATCCAATCTTACAAATTTTGCCTCAGAACAGCGGTATTCTTTAGGAATCAGGAACTATGAATTTTATCAAAGTAAATTGATTTTCGCATCGATAAAAACACACTCATTCACAGTTTTGTAAATGCTGAAGTGTTGTTGAACGAAACACAAATAAGTAAACGGAAGTATCTGCACATTACGGGTCGATTCATTGCTTCGAAAGTAGCGTCAATTACAGGTGAGCATATTGATTATAGTGGTTATGGTGTTTTACCGATGGCAACTGATGCAGCAACTTATTTACTTGTATCGCGTTGTGAGAAATCACAAATCGCTTTCTTCAACACCGATGAAAAATATGCGTACGTTTTTCGATGTATTACTTGATGCTCAATTTTCAAATTCAGTCTGTGAAAGAAATATCAGATTTGGAATCTTTTATAGACCATACGTGCATAAATTGAACGATGAATGGATTGGTCAAGATAAACCACAATGGTATCATTATTTATTATGCGGATGGAAAGGCATGCTTGATCGACTGAAGGTTTCATCGAACGGATTGAACGTTCTTCTCTCAGGTATTCTCCCACTAACAGATGTTCGATTTTGATGTGCTATTTATTTTCATCAAATACATTTCAAGCAATTTTATCGAGCAATTGAAATGTC